GTACTGCTTTTAGCAATATTCCAGCAATATCATGGTGGGCGATACCAGAAATGGGCTTCACACATTGTACCCACGTGGGGAATCGAACACAGGGTCTTTTGCGTGACAAGCAAACGCTTTAATTAATCAATTAAAAGACAAATCACATAGATAGAAACACACTTAAAACTATGCCAACTACATCTGCCTCACACAAGGCAAGCATGACTTGATGACAGATCTACTTGATGTGCTTACTCTTATAACTGATAAACACCATTGATAATTCATTGTTTAACTACTCGCTTTGAGTGACTTGGTCCTCCTTCTGAATACCCATTGAAGGGAAGATAAGACCAGTGTTGAAACATTACTGTACACTAGGGGAACAACTGGAATGAAACCTGGACCATTCAGCATCGAGCAATTCCACGGCTGAAGCTTCACCACTGAGCTAATGCAGGCCATTTAACACTGAATTCACAATCGTGCACTGACTTGACACATCACATCCATGTAAGTGAGTGAGTGAGTGAGTGAGTGAGTGAGTGAGTGAGTGAGTGAGGGGTTAAATGCCACTTTTAACAGCATTCCTGTTATATCACGGTGTGTCAGCGTAATGTGGGAGGAAAACCCCAAGTGATGCAGGTCTCAGACGTTTACCACTTCGGTGAAACCCATGAGCATGGGTATGGTGTTGACAAACCTAAAAACATAATTGGGGCGAACCGGGATTCGAACCCACAATCATAGGTCTGGCGTGTCCATGGGACGCAACTCTGCACAGCGAATTGCGGTGCCTTAGACGACTGGGCCACCCGTGCCCCCACATCCATGTGAGGATACTGTTCAGAATATGTCCCCAGTACATCATGGGGGTCCAGATAACGAGGATTGGGTGGTCACAATGTGTAAGCTGAGTGACTGTGTTGAACCACAACAGGGTAGATCATTGCTTCCTCTATCAACCACTACCTGGCCCACGACTGATTATTTGCAAGCCATCATGATACAATACTCAAGGTTAAGTAAACATGGATTTTTCATATTACTATAGCTAATATGTCAAATTAACTACAGTCAAATGAAATTAACTGAGGGTAACTTAACTTCTTGCGTATATATTAAGTTAATATTGCTGACCATGGCGTAAAATGGCATTAACTCATATATACAACTCAAATATAGTTACTTGCGTATATATTAAGTTAATATTGCTGACCATGGCCTAAAATGGCATTAACTCATATATACAACTCAAATATAGTTACTTGCGTATATATTAAGTTAATATTGCTGACCATGGCGTAAAATGGCATTCACTCATATATATTACTCAAATAAAGTTAAAGAGCACCCAATATTTTCAGATGACTACAGTTTATCCATCTTGGCTGGTGGGTATTGCAACTCATAGCCTTCCAATTGTGGGTGTTCCTCAACTTATTTTGAGTAGTATATCAAATGGTGCATCAGCAATGATATAGTGGTGGGGGTGATAGCTGTTCTCTAATCTTGACTATCATGTCATGTTGAGTGCAAGAAATCAACCTTATCTTTACATGCAGTGAAATAGTTTACAGATTGGGGAGATGCTTAAAGCTTGTAAGTGATGAAGGAGCTCTTCCCCTGCTAATGCTACAGAGAGAATACAACCCAAGTACGTCATGTCATGCAGGGAAATATGGCCCGTATACCATGCAGTAACACTTTTAACAGCTGTGTATCTGTTGAAATTATGAATCATATTTTAAAGAGTTTTGAAAGAGGACTATTATAAGAAATGATATAAAGATTCTGACACATTTATCTATCATTAATAACATCTAAGGCTTCAAAGTAAATTGGGGAAATGAATTAGGAGGAAGGATGTTCCTGATTTCAATAGAGTGCTTCATACTTGTTATTTTCCATTGGGAGGATATTTCAATGTTCGAACTTAAGGGAGGCACCGGTTTTCTTTGGGAGAATTTGAATGTAGGGACCACATTAATTTTAAGTGTTAAAAAGTATTGACAGAGCACCCTGACATTCCTGCTAAACACTATGTAGGTCTTTGAATTGAGTGAGTGAGTGAGTGAGTGAGTGAGTGAGTGAGTGAGTGAGTGAGTGAGTGAGTTTTACGCCGCTTTTAGCAATATTCCAGCAATATCACGGCGAGGGACACCAGAAATGGGCTTCACACATTGTACCCATGTCGGGAATCGAACCCGGGTCTTCGGCGGGACGAGCGAACGCTTAGACCACTAGGCTACCCGACTGCCCCGAGTGAGTGAGTGAGTGAGTGAGTGAGTGAGTGAGTGAGTAGGATCATATTTCACTTTTTGCAATATTCCAGCAAAATACCCTAAAAGGGTACACTAAAAATGTTTCACAAATTATACCCATACTGGAATCAAACCCAGGTGTTTGATGTGACGAGCTGACACTTTAACCACTAGGCCACCTGATTGCACAGTTTTTATAAGTAGTTTGTGAAGATAGATGTGATCCAGAGACTGTCTTAATATCTATAAACACATGCACCCTCCCCATCTTGTCCCAGCTCTACTCCAACTTTCAAATAAAACTGTATTTCATTAATTTTTAACATCGCCTAGTTTTTAATTTACATTCTTTGACAAAACAATATTTCAGGCACATTTCCTTTATGAGGGCACCACCCCCCTTTTGGTAGCCGGATGCTGATCCCTGTTAAGTGGTATTATGTATGCTGCAGTGTTGTAACTGGATGTTATGAAATATGTTATGCCAATATTTCATGGATGAAATTCAATTTTTCTGCTTTTTTTTAAAGCTTTACACTGAATAAATAAAATATATTTAGCCCAAAGCTTATAAGCATGCATGGTCATGCATTCAATGTAAAAATCCCAGTCTAGTTTACTTCACCAGCTGTGCTCACTGATAGGACTCGAGAGTTCTTGGATGCCAAGACAAAATAATTAGCATGCTGTAACCTGGAGAAACCCCACTAAACCCCCATATCTTATCGCTCATAATATCAATGTACAAACAAAATTAACGTGTGATTATTTCTCAAAATCTTAAGTGTACAGACAACTTTGCACTGACACTGCACAATGTACTGATATCAAACTGACAGATCAATCTGACGCATAACTATACGATGTCCAGTGGTACATTTCCTGTACCAACTTCCTCGTCTGAGAGGGTGTTATCAGCTACATCAGGTGCCCCCCAGACACTGTAGTTACCTGGCTGGCCAAGCATGTACATAGCAACTCCATCAACTGATAAACCTAGCCCTATACAGCAATACGGCTGTCAAGAAACTGATGACTTTGTTATTAAAGATGGTGGCCCTGATTATTCAACAGACTGCAGTTTATGCCCATGTTCTATGGGAACAGGTGGGTGACTGTCAATCTCAGACTATACATACCATGAAATTTGGTTTGGTTTTGGTTTGTTGTTTTAGGCCGCACTCAGCAATATTCCAGCTATATGACGGCGGTCTGTAAATAATCGAATCTGGACCAGACAATCAAGTGATTTCCATCATGAACATCGATCCACGCAATTGGGATCAATGACATGCATCAACCAAGTCAGCGAGCCTGACCACCCGATCCCGTTAGTCGCCTTTTACGACAAGCATAGTCGCCTTTTATGGCAAGTATGGGTTGCTGAAGACCTATTCTACCCTGGAATCTTTACGGGTCCCATGAAATTAGGAAACAGATGGCTGAATTATAGAGATATCTCAGACTATGAGCTGGAGAATATACTGACATTTGGATTGCAGGATAATAGCGTTGTTCCCGAGTCTCAGCAGGTTTAATCTTTGAGAATATGATTTTAGGTCAAGCTATTGTTCTGTGTGCACAAATGAGAATCAAATAATATTTTAAGCTCACTTTTTCAATAAAAAGCAAGTCAATAAATACCTTCCGATCAATATGTCACTGTCACTAACATGGAGAATGGACTCTGATGATGACAGTATCGGTGTGACATACAATGGGGGCAGAGCACCCAATCTACAGATTATCCCTGAGTTCACACTTTGACATGCTATAATCTATTCCCTAATCTTCACACCTGCAGATTTAGGCTAATCTGATTATAATAAGAACTCAGTGCTGATAATCTGCTTTCCATGAACTATCAGACATAAGTAAAAGGGGCTTCACCATTCACGATGTCAAAGTTATAGCATAGTAGACTCGTCCAGCATTGAAAGTATTTGTTTCGTGCAGTGCGAGCAATATAAACGAAGGTGGGTAGGCAAGGAGTTTTTATTTTTTAATCCACACCATTAGATGTTTACAATGGACAGACAGACGACGATTTGAGGCGCATATACATAAAAAAAAAATAACAAAATGCTTTTGAAAAGTTTTTTTCAGTCAGATCTATTTAGCAGGGTGGGGAGAGTCACAAAACCAAGTGTTTTTTTCCATTGTGACTGTGTGATGTAAACAGTTAGTTGTTGGTTGGTTGGTTTGTTGTTTAACGCCGCACTCAGCAATATTCCAGCTATATGACGGCGGTCTGCAAATAATCGAGTCTGGACCAGACAGTCAAGTGATTGATATCATGAGCATCGATCCACGCAATTGGGATCGATGACATGCATCAACCAAGTCAACAAGCCTGACCACCCGATCCCGTTAGTCGCCTTTTACGACAAGCATAGTCACCTTTTATGGCAAACATGGGTTGCTGAAGACCTATTCTACCCGGGAATCTTCACAGGTCCATGTAAACAGTTCATGCCACCAGGGAAACATGACATACACAAAGTAGCAATTGTTGCCATCAAATCATCTTCAGACTAAACTTAGTCTGTATCAAGAGTTTGAGTTTCGAAATTTTTAGATGCTGATCAGCAAATTCAAGATCAACGATCGAGCAACGATCCAGATAAGGATGATCCAACTCTGCCAAGTCAAACACCCAAACCTCATTAGTAGGATGCTGAAACAAGCATAGGTGCTGCTATGCGGCCTTATTCTACATTGGGCTCCCCGAGGGGCAATATATGATATACATACCTGCTTTGTCTGTCGAGGGCCTTGAGGCGGAGGTCTTCCCACCGATTGTTCAGCAGCCCCATCTGCACACGGATCTCATTCTCCTCCTCTTCAGTGACCTTGCCCTCTGCAATGAGGTCATTTCCCTCCTTCAGGACGTTCCCAATACTGTCCTGGTGCTTGGTCAGTTCCAGCATGAACTCCTGCAAGCAGACACGTTGGCATCACAGCAGGGCCTGGGTTCGTTGGTTGGTTGGTTGTTAAACGCCGTACTCAGAAATATTCCAGCTATATGATGGCGGTCTGTTAATAATCGAGTCTGGACCAGACAATCCAGTGATTGATATCATGAGCATCGATCCACGCAATTGGGATTGATGACATGCATCAACCAAGTCAGCGAGTCTGACCACCCGATCCCGTTAGTTGCCTTTTACAACAAGCATAGTCGCCTTTTACGGCAAGCATGGTTTGCTGAAGGCCTATTAAACCCGGGAATCTTCACGGGTCGCCTGGGTTCGGATACATGGGTGGCACTTGGGTACTTGATATTTGCATGGGTGAATTTTGTGTGTGTGATATTTGGGTGGGTTGTATTTGGTTGGGTGACTTTTGGGTGGGTTGTTTGTGGGTGGGTCGTATTTGGGTGGGTGATATATGAGCAGGTTGTATTTGGATGGTTAATCTTTGGGAGGTTGATATTTTGGTGGTTGAGGTGGGGTGAGGTGAAATGGGGTTCAGGGTTTTTGCATTTATATAGCGACATGCATGCACATGTATGTGCGTTTCTGCTTGATCAAGTCTGGCTACTGTATACTGACTCTGAGCCGACCAGTCCTCGTTTTAGGCCAACAATGCCGAGTGCCAGACAGGGTAAAAACAAGTACCATCTTTTAACATCTTTTGGTATGATGCTGCATGGGACCGAACCCCCAACCTTCTGCTCTCGGGGTGGATGCCCTACCACTGGACCATGGAGGCGGTACTTTGGATGGCTGATATCTGGATGGTTGTATTTGGGGGAGTGGTATATGGGTAGGTGGTATATGGATGGGTGGTATATGGATGGATGGTATATGGATGGGTGGTATATGGATGGATGGTATTTGGATGGATGGTATATGGGTGGATGGTATATGGGTGGGTGGTATATGGATGGATGGTATATGGATGGGTGGTATATGGGTGGGTGGTATATGGATGGATGGTATATGGGTGGGTGGTATATGGATGGGTGGTATACGGATGGATGGTAAATGGATGGATGGTATATGGATGGATGGTATATGGATGGATGGTATATGGATGGATGGTAAATGGATGGGTGGTATATGGATGGATGGTATATGGATGGATGGTATATGGATGGATGGTATGTGGATGGATGGTATATGGGTGGATGGTATATGGGTGGGTGGTATATGGATGGATGGTATATGGGTGGATGGTATATGGGTGGATGGTATATGGGTGGATGGTATACGGATGGATGGGTGGTATATGGATGGATGGTATATGGATGGATGGTATATGGGTGGATGGTATACGGATGGATGGTATACGGATGGATGGTATATGGATGGGTGGTATATGGATGGATGGTATATGGATGGATGGTATATGGATGGATGGTAAATGGATGGGTGGTATATGGATGGATGGTATATGGATGGATGGTAAATGGATGGATGGTATATGGATAGATGGCATATGGATGGATGGTATATGGATGGATGTTATATGGATGGGTGGTATATGGATGGATGGTATATGGATGTGTGGTATATGGATGATGGTATATGGGTGGGTGGTATATGGATGGATGGTGTATGGGTGAATGGTATATGGATGGATGGTATATGGATGGATGGTATATGGGTGGGTGGTATATGGGAGAGTGGTATATGGATTGATGGTATATTGGTGGGTGGTATACAGGTGGCTGGTATATGGCTGGGTGGTATATGGATGGCATATGAAATTTGTATTGGTGGTATTAAGGTTACTGGTATTTGGCTGTGAGTTTGTGAGTGGGGCTGCACATTATTATCAGGCAGTACCCTGTTTACACAAGGGTCTTTGAGATGGTTGTGTCAATGAGTTTTTTGTATTTGGTTTACAGATACGCCAACCCAAATTACTGAGAAAATGGAAAAAAATCAAAATCAAATTATCATTTTAAAAAATATTTATAACACCACCAACTAAAAAAAGTGTCTGTAAAGATTATGCAAAAATATTTTATAGTCTTGCAACGCAGTAAGGATATGACATTGGTATCAAAACTCACTACTGATTAAGTGACAAAGCAGTATTGAGAGTAAAGGGATAAAGCTCCAGCCAGATCCATGTTCCTTGCCATGTGCTCTAAAGCCAAATGGCAGTTTACTCTCGTTTGTACTTCCAGGTGCAAATCGGATTATTTCCCCACAAAGTGCCAGTTAAACACAATTTGCCAGAAATTCCCCCCTCTACCAAACTCAATTTATTGGTGAATAATCTGTAAACCAACAAAAATAAATACAAAAGAGACTTAATTTAGCTTAATTTAACATTTTGCTCAATCAGATTGTCAGGATAAATAACTGTACCAACAGCGTGTATTCATGACAAGTTGTCCCTTGCTGTCAGATGTGCAAGCGGACGTACCTCATGTTCATTAAACTGTTTCTTGACACTGTAGACGAGGTGTCCAATGGAGGCTTGTTTCTCGATGACCTCCTCCGCCTCCAGCAGCCAGGTGAGGACGTTCTCCAGGGCGTCCTGGTAGGACAGGAGGTCAGAGGACGTGGTGCTCATCGTGCTGTGTCGACTCTCAGAGCTGCTCATGGACATCGCCGACTGCAATACAAATAGCAATCTTACATCATCTTCCAAATTCAAAAGCATAATAGAAATAATACAAAGTTTAATATCCAGGAAAACAATATTAATCTGGATTGTACATCTGCTAGACCAACATGTTTATGGATTAATAATCACAGGTAAAGATCCCTTGTAGTGAGTGAGTGAGTGAGTGAGTATGGTTTTACGCCGCTTTTAGCAATATTCCAGCAATATCACGGCGGGGGACACCAGAAATGGGCTTCACACATTGTACCCATGTCGGGAATCGAACCCAGGTCTTCGGCGTGACGAGCGAACGCTTTAACCACTAGGCTACCCGACCGCCCCCCATCTCCCTTGTAAATATGCAGACACGGTGACCAGTCATGAGAGTTAGAGGCTGTCTGGACAATCAGGGCCTTGACTAATGGATGCATGGCACTGTGTTCAACATAACAGCAATGAAGTCTTAATTTGTCATGACATTCTGACTGGTCCCAAATACCAGCAATTCCATACCCTCTCTCCTAATAAACACAAAGCCCTTGACAAATCAATGGTTGAAATATCACTCTGAATGAGGCCTCTTGCGATATTTCATATTGGGACTTCTCAACAAAATATTGCTAAAAGCAGAAGAGTGATTTAGTGAGTTTGATTTTACGCCGCTTTTAGCAATACCTCAGCAATGTCACACCGGGGGACACCAGAAATTGGCTTCACACATTGTACCCATGTCAGGAATCGAAGCCGGGATTTCGGCGTGACGAGCGAACGCTTTAACCACTAGGCTACCTGACCACCCTATTGCAGAAGAACAACCAAACTCTCATGTGACGTTTCAAACTAAATGACCGTGAGCATACCAACAGCAAATCCCAAAAGACACCAGATGAGACTGACCAAATAAATTAGATTTTAAGAATAGGAACTACTTACTGAGCAGAGTTCATATTACATGCCTCAATGATATGGCGCCAGAAGAGTACCATCTTCATTGTTTAGAAACTGAATTACAGGAATTAACATGGCTCTCTCTTCAACTTGGCCCCCTGTCAGTGCTCATTGTCACAGACAGAACACAGAACAAAACATGTAGCACAATATCATAATTCATGGTCTCACACCGTTCAGATGATTAATAACAAAAACAATCAAGACATCGGCAAATCGTTATCTAATAACACACGTCATGCTCTTTATACAATAGCTGAAATTTTTCCTGTTATTCCATTAATATAAAAAAAATTATTTTAAATTGCGATTTCATTTTTTAACAAAGTTAAGTTTTCTTGATGCTAAAAATAGACACAAACTGTTTTAGTTAACTTGTCAAGAGATAAAAAAAAGAAGAAGCAACTCTTCCCAGAGATCAAGTCATCCTCCAAGTGGGGCTGTGGCGTTCCACTCACTCCACTGTTCCTATCACATGACGTTCTTCTCCCATCACGGGGACAACTCAATACTCCCTTTGAACCGCACATGCAAACCCAATTGCTGAAAGTCACATGTAATAAATTTCAATTTTGACAATTACAATAATTGATAACTACGCCTGAATAATTCAGGCTCAAAAAGAAACAAAGTGGTCTGGTGACTCTCATCTGATGCATAGACTGGATTGAGTTTCCTGACACTCATATTGGATATACTGTCTGTAGCAGCTTGTGCAAAACTGAAATTTTTACATGTCAAGCCACATGAGTGGCAACATGTCTGCCACTAATCCAAAAAGACATGAGATGAGATGAAATAAATAATTTAGACTTTAAGAGTAAGGAACTACTTTTCTGAGTTTATATTAAACAGCAGCAGTGGAGTTTGAGTGACTTGTGTCAAACTGGCTGGGGCTAGCTATTGGCCTGAGGATAGCGCCCCTTTAAAGTATGAGAAAATCCCAGAGCAAAGTTTGAACACTTTGGCAAATCCCTGAGTATGGTGTTTACAGAACATGGATAATAATCAGGTTGAATTCAAAATAATGAACAGCAGATCCTGGCACAGCTAAGGAATGCAACTCAGGAAAATACAGCATGTTAAACAGCTGGACCCACTCGACTTACTTGAGAACCCTTCTAACAGGTAACAGAGGTTTCATGATTTTATCCTTCAAAACCTGGAAATGATTTGAGAACTAATTTTGCTTCAAAATAAAAAAAAGTTGTCTTCCTTTAAAAAATGTAACAAATGTTTTGTTTCAAGGCTGTTTATTTACATTTTAGTGTTAAAAGTAAGTCTGATGAAATAAAGGCTGGTACATACACACCTACTGCATAGCAATACATAGCCTTGCTCCAAGGCTGTACTGAATGAAAAGACCATTGATGTGTAGTAATTCTATCCTCCAAAAAGCAAATCTAGATATGCGGACATTACATCGCTCCAGTCTCTTACAGAGACAACTTGTTCTTATTATCTACATAATCTAGAAATTATGATTTAAACTAATAATTATTGCCTTAGAGACTTGTGCAAGTCTAAGCAATGCACATCCTTTATAACCTCAAGCTCAAATTTCGGTAAACGCCAGAATAACCCTGGAGACATAGAGGATGATCATACAGAAAATGACGGTAATTAAAAAACTAAGAATTTTTTGCATGAAGAATTGTAAATGATACAAAGTTTCCTAATTATAATCCAGATGGGATGCGAGTCTACATCAGATAGAGAAGTGGCCTTTGTTTCAAATTAGTTTTGAGAATTTTAAATGATATCAATTTCCTGAAAAGAATTCAAACTGGCAGCATCCGATCAAATCAAATCCCCAAGTCTACATCAGACAACAGAGAGCGTAGTCAGCAAGTCTACAAGGATCTTGTACTGCGCATTGACTGGCATCAAGTCTAATCTAATCAGATACCCTACAGGCTATATTGACAGGTATTGATGACTGTCCATGTCACACCAATTGCTCATACAACGAACAAGGGGACATATTAAACTAAGATTTTCTGATTAGCCATATTTGATTTCCCAGCTCTTAATGTCTATTATGGAACTTTTTTGAATGCAAACTTGAAGCAAACAAAGATTTAACTGCCAATCAATGCTGCATTGTGTGCTGCCTAACATATTTCGATTCGTTCCATATTCTCGGGGGCAGTTTACACTTCCCTCATATATAACCTTCTGCGAAATTCTGAGAATACAGAAAATGTATCCAACTGATTAATAACATCAATGTTCTGAATACCAGAACAAAATTGCTGGAATCAAGACATCATTTGTTAATTATAAATACTAAATTAGAAATATAGTTATGAAATACTAAACTCTGCAACTGATAATGAAACAAAGGGCCTATAAGGTTTGGTTTGTTTCTTGTTTAACGCCGCACTCAGCAATATTCCAGCTATATGACAGTGGTCTGTAAATAATTAAGTCTGGACCAGACAATCCAGTGATTGACATCATGAGCATCAATCCACGCAATTGGGATCGATGACATGCATCAACCATGTCAGCGAGCCTGACCAACCGATCACATTAATCGCCTCTTGCGCCATTTTGTTGGATGTTGCTTTTGTCATAATGCATACCTAAAAGACACATAATGTACAGTAACCTGGTTGAGAATAGTTTTGCTCTTCCGATCACAGGAATCAGTTGCTAATTTCTGAATTTCAAAATTTCACTTTGACTGGTCACTTACTAAACATTGCCAACAAGATGAAAATATGCATGATTTTGAAAAACGCAATATTCTGGTATTTTGGGGGGGATATGCATTCCTCAGTATTTCAAAACGTGGCAATACCATACAGCTCTACCTTCGAGAATGTGAAGATGCAACACAAAGGAATCCCAGAAATAACAGACTCCCAGTCCTATGGCAACCTTGCATCAACAGCCTCCATACATCATCATTAGCATCTTACGTTGTCTTCTACCACATCCCTCCGCCATAACTCTCCGTACAAACACAACTCATTAACAAGGCACAAGTTTACATCTGAGAAGAAAATGCCTTCAAACGTGTAAAGATACTAAAGACAAATTTGAGCTGGATCATCAATGACAAAACATAGCTCGTTAACTCAAGAGTTGGAAAAACAAAGGAGCTCTTGCACTGACTTTCCATTTCTTGTTACAATCCTCTCCCTGGGATCAAGGGGTCGATGTGATAGAAGGTTGGTGGGTCTTTAACACAAGTTATCAGTCAGGTCGCACTGACCTGGTTTTGTATTCAGGACAGACTGCAGATTGAATAGCCTTGTACTGCACTGGGTGACATGGATATTAATGCTAAACGTTATGAACGATATCTGTTTCAAAAACAAAGCCTTATTCTGATGTTTTTGAGTGTGTCAGGGGTTCATTGAATTTTTCTGTTACAGCATTTGGAGCTAGGGACCTCTGATACTTGAAATTCTCACAATTGGGTTTTGACAGGTTCCCTAAATTTCAATAATATTTTCAATGCTGTATTCCATTGAGAAAATAGTTTCAAGGACATGACACAATTGTAATTGTTATTCTAGTCATGCAGAAACAAAACAGAATAAATTCTTGTGTAAGATACATTGCAGCAACATTAAATGATATTATACAGGCATCAACAGAGGGGATACAGGCAAACATGACCTCCACACATTTACATTCCGAGACATGGCAAGTGCAATGTCACAGCACAATCATGTTTTTGTACAATAACTCAAGTAACAATGAGAATGCCTTTTGGGTGAGACGCATGGTAGTGAAAGTGACAGAATTAATGCCCTTGTCTAAGGAGGTCACCCTTGTGGAGGTAGAGAAAACAGAGAAGACAGCGTTTGTCTAAAGGCACATTGTTTCAGCTCTATTTGTGTTTTTTGTTTAATGCCGCACTTAGCAATTTTTCAGCTATATGATGCCAGTCTGTATATAATAGAGTCTGGACAAGGCAATGGAGTGATTGACATAATGAGCATCGATCCATGCAATTGGGATCGATGACATGCATCTACCAATAATCAGTGAGTCTGACCACCAAATTTTCCTCTTTCGACAAGCATGGGTTTCTGAAGACTAAG